GATATTTCAATGTGTACATTTGGCCATAGAAGCCAATGCAAAAGCAGCGGCGCTCCGAGAATTTCATACAAACTTCCCATGTAGACGGCCGCAATACAGCCGAAAATCGAAAAAAAAAGTTTAATTTTTTTTTTTCGATTCTCATACGGTATTTTGTGTGCTCAATCCATTGATGTTATCGCCACATCGAAATTCGCACTCCTTATCAGTTTGTTATCAATGGGAAACATTTGGTTCCAGACTAATAACATCACCATCTCATTACTCAAATATATTTCATCTAATAACTATACTAATAAGATACCATGCATCTTATTACTCGTTCGACCAATAACATTCTAATAACTATACTCACTAGATATATTACTAGAGTAATAAGATTGCATCTTATTACTACTTATTAGAAGTTACTAGTAATAAGTAGTAAGTATCTTATTAGTCACTATTTATTAGTCCAAACTATACAGCTCATGAAGATGGCTTTCTCTGGTTATATGATGCTCAAGACAGTTACATCCAACGAGTAGCGCAATAAATAACACAATGATATTTCTTTCGGATAATATCTGCGATACACAACCCACTTATCTAATTAAACAAATTACAAATGTCATATCGACCATTCCACACGAAATCGACCAAGAATTGGATCGACCCTCTCCGAATTGACTGAAAATTTGCTTGGAGTCTTGTTCTCGGTAGAAAATGAGAAAACCAAAATCTTAGACCTGTAAGTGGCCTACATTTTTGAGTTCACCCAGTGTAAATTTTTCGAAAAATTGAAAAAATCGAAAAAAAGGGTTTGCGCCAACTGAAAACTAACTAAGAAGTAGTTGACACATTACCAAACCATTGGTACCGTTGGAGAGATAATTGATGGCGCTACAAAAATTGCGAAGTTACCTACCCACTTTGACCCCATTGGGGCCTCCAAAAATGGAATCAAAGTACTAAAAATGAAATATCTCAAAAGAGTGGTGTTTTTTTGACATGTTTTTTTTGCGTTTTTTTTTGCGCTTATGTCGCGCCGCTTCAAATGGAAAAATAAAATTTCGTGTATAACCCCCATTCAGTTCGTGTATTTGGCCTCGGCAAGTGAATCATATATCGTTTTTCACCGTTTTTATAGGGAAAATGATCGAAAATGGCTTCTTATGACATTTTGATCTGAGAAAACTACTATTTTTTCGTCAAAATACATGAAAAAACGACCTTTCCCACATCGTTTTATCTATAAATTTGGTCTGAAATCGACAATTCTCCATAAAACAAGCGAATGGTCAAAATCCGCATACAAAATCACACTTATGGCATAGAAAACTCACCTATGGGTGACCTTTCTTTCGTTTTTACTTGACAATTTTTTCATTTGATAAATTTGTTTGAATTTGTTTTAAACAAACCTGCGAATGTCGCAAAGTACTGATTCTTCATGTTTTTCCATAGAAAAGCTTCTGATTCTGATTCGTTCCTCATTTTTTATTACGAATACACTGTTTAAACTCCTTTCTCGGTGAACGTATTACACACAGCTGATGATGAAAATATTTTCGAACGCTTTAAGTATCAAATATTCGCATTTTTCGTAGAAATATGTTTCAGAACTTTATCTTTATTTGAGCCACCATTATTGTCTGAATATTTTTTCTCATTTATAATACTAGTTGTGAGTCAGTGGATTTTTTCCATCATGCAATATGAATATGGCCGGTCCGACTATTTTCAAACTTCTCTTATGACGTGAGCCAACTTTTGTTGACTTAAGTCCGAACTGAAAAGACGTATTTCGTGAAGTAGCTACAAACATCGTGTTGAAAATCGTCTGAAAAAACTTTATTTAATTTTTTTCAAAGTGTCATTTTTTTTGAGTGAATCAGTTGTAAAAGGTCAGTGTAATGCAATAATATTTAGAATTTTACGTATATTTTTTGATGAAGTATCGGATAATGTCAATAAATTATTAGAAGAAATGCCGTCAAAATATGGTTGTGAGTCACAGCATATCACCAGTTTTGAGACTCTTTTTTTTCATCAGAATTGTCAAAAATCGTTATTGTGTTAGCAAACAGCGTTTATGCAATTTAATTGGTGTTCATATTTTCTCGTGTTTTCCGCGCTGTAGCCATATGTTGCAGCCATTAGACGTTTCGGTTTTTATACCTTATAAAACTTATTACAGATTACAATGGTTCGAAAATGATGAATGAAAAATTTCGACTTTTATAAGTCAATCATTTTTATAAAAGCCACTTAAGGCCTTCAAAATTAATAAAAAGTTATATTTTCGGACAATTACGAGGTTTTAAATCATATTTATCAATTTTCATTAGATTTTTCAAGTTTCTCACAACTATTGTCAAAAAGAAAAATTTCGACAAAATTAGTTGTAGTCACAAAATTAATAATAAAATTTTTTCGTATTGATGAAAAATCAATATACTTTCTTCTGAAAAAAGTTGCATGTATTAATTACCTTTCTAACTGCACTCCAGAATTTATTAAATCAGTAAAAAGTTACAGCTCAAAAACAAAACTTGTCCCACAACTCTCCCTTAGCGAAGCGAAACTTCTTTGCTTAAATCGCAATTAACGTGCAAATTTATATTAAAGAAACTTTCTACTTGAATTTCTAATCGGAATTTTAGATATCATTCTTATTTCAACTGTCAACAATTTGATAAGATACTTTCGGTTTGTTAAAAATACACATGCATCCGTGTAAATCGATTATTCCAAACATGATTAGGAAGAGAAATACGAACAAAAACGTGACAAAACTGAAGGACTGCCAGTGGTTCAAATCTACATAACACACTTACGCCATAAGATTAGGTTTCAATAAATCCAATTCACGCCACAAATGAACGCCAATGGCATGATTCCCATCGATGGTGCAAATGCTGATAAGTAATAACCATTCATATTGAAGTATGAATAGATAGATTTGTGTTGCGAACAACTCAATCGTTGGTTCATCAAAGATAACACAATTAAAAAAAATTCGACGCAAAATATCGGTCAAATACGTAGTGAACAAAGACCGATAATGTCATTTTTATGGACATTATCAAAGCACCTAATCATGTGCAATTGTGCATTGTTTTCCACTCACCGGAAGAAAATACTATTGTCATAAGTATCTTATCAAATATGTTCAAATGTAGTGAATGTTCCATTGTTTATAATTTTCACTGCGAGAAAAACGCGAAACTATATATCGCGATTCGTATCAGATTTTGTTATTATTTTAGTTTCATGTAAAAAAATCGGATGAAATTAGAAGTCTTGTCGTTATCTAGATGTTTTTTATTAGTCAGAAATATTTATGCCTGTAAAATTCCTAATACACTGAGCCAGTGTGTCAAAACCGAGATGCCAATTCCTTCCAACGCACTTCGATTGACGAAAATGAATAATTGGAAAATATAAAAATACTTCAAACGAGGTGTGAATGGCTGAAAAATAATACATAAAAAGTCCGATGCCTGCAACTTCTCTTCGGATTTTCTTTCGCTTGCGATCGATTTCAATCTTCCAAATCCTTTATAAAGAGCAATCTTCCTGCTAACTATTCCCATTGTAACCTTAGTAAAATTTGATTTGAAAAAAGCATTTTATCCACTTGAAACTTTTCTTTCTTGGGATAATACCAACGACTGCACAATTTGATGTTCATGAACATCAATACATATTGGTGAGTCACCAATGGTGACTGATGTGTTCTAATTTATCTCCGCTACGGAGTAATCGGGCGCTATACACAATCTTTTTTAGAGTACCCCCGTGCAAATGTTATATATTCATATTACAGCTTAATCAAATTATGTCAATAAATAACTAGTAGGAGCATTCCACAATGCGAAATACATATTTTTTGCGAATGAATGTAAAAGAGAACGGATATCTTCATTTAGGCTTAACAAAATAACAATCTTAAATGGTCTATGATAACTTTTGAGCGCGTAGCAACACGTTTTTTTCTTGGCAAATACCCAGATGTTGTTGCTTAATTATCGTGTCGCATTCACGATAAATCATTTAAGCAACCATAAACTCTCAAATATTTGTTTTAATTGGCAAGAATGAGATAAAATTTGCCTAAAGCTATTGTTTTCTTGGCATTTAAAAAACACTGTTACATCTAGAACGCGCTCGTGCAAGTCTATTTTTTTCATCTACTCCAACATCGTCCAGACATTGTCCACTGGTTTCTTCCACAAAAAAGTAAATGAAGATTGCTCCCAAGGCACAACTGACTCCGAATATTGTCATGCATCCGTGCAGATCGATCACTTCCAAAAGAAATGGCAACAGTTTAACAGATGTAAACGTCGTTATGTTGAATGCAAAACCGATGAACGCCATGCCAGGGGTTCGAATCTGCAGAAAAGATAAGTTTATCAAAGGGAATTGAAATTTAGTGTGCACATTTCCTCTCACCTTGGATGGTAAATATTCGATGCTGCAAACGAGTGACAATGCAATGATACCGGCCGCTGATATGAAAATCACAAATGATAGGCTCAACACTGGCACCCATTGGTATGACGACAAATCATAGCCATTTATATTCAGATAGTGATAAAGCGATACAGCAAACAGTCCAAGGGCCGAACCAACCAGAGACATGATATTCAAAAATTTCCGCCCAAGCTTATCGGCCAGGTAAGTCGTGCATATCGAACCAAGAAGGAGTGCAATCCCCAACATGATTGACGACACATATGGATCCATTGATGTTCCAGCTTTTTCAAAAATCATCACAGCGTAATTAGTTATTATGGGAGTTCCTGTAAGCTGAGACAGTGTGGTTAGTATGATTCCAATGCCAAGTCCTTTCAACGCACTTCGATTGACTGAAATGAAGAATTGAAACACAATAAAATATTTCAAACGAAGTTTGATTGGCTGAAAAATGCATACAAAAGTCCGATGCCTGCAATTTCTCTTCGGTTTTCCTTTCGTTCACGATCGATTTCAATCGTTCGAATTCTTTATAAAGAGCATCATCTTCCTGCTTACTCTTCCCTTTAAAGCCATTGTAATATTTCAATGCAGCTTCGGCTTTCTGCCATTTTCGGAAAACGTTTGAATTTTATAGAAAAAAAACTTTATTTTTATGGAATAAAACTTGATGTTAATTTCAATAATTTGATCTTAAAACAGTGAATTTACTCACTTGAATCTGTCCTTTCTGGAGGTGATACCGTGGCGTATTCGGTAGCATCACAAAACTTACTATGAAAACAATCGGAAAAATGCCAGATATGCGTGGAATAACCATGTAGTCAACACTTGCACCCAAAATGAAGCCAACAAGAATGCCAAAGTTCCGTATGAAATGAATGCTGCTTATAAGTCGGCCACGAATACTGACAGAAAAAAAAAGTTTCCGGTTATGGAACACGCTTAGTTTTGGTCCAACGGTTCAACGGATACCAAAAATGCTTACTTATCGTCAGAAATTTCGGACACATATAGAATGAGTGCTGTGAGTACTCCACCACCACCTATGCCAGCAAATACTCTGCCCAATAGAAGATAGTAATAATGATTACCAAAGTAAACTAGCAGCCAAAATACGATGATCGGGATCGTCAGCAGAAGTATTGCACGCTTGCTACCCATCAAGGATATAAAGTAGCCTAATGAGAGTGTGCCCATCATGGCTCCCAAGACATTTATTGATCCAATCCATGAAATTTCATCTGTTGTTAAAGCTCCAGATATGAGCGGTGATTTGTCTGACGCTAAAACTGATAGAGCAGGGGAAACCCATCCATTCACTGCTCCGCTTGAAAATATCAACAAATTAGCTACAGAAAATAGCAAAAATGTGTTGCGCATTAGACAATTTCGTATCACTTTCTTACAACTATTCAAAAGATTTGTTTCATTTGATAAATTAGTTCGAATTGTAAATTGTGTTGAACAAACCTGCGAATGTCGCAAAGTACTGATTCTTCATGTTTTTCCATAGAAACACTTCTGGTTCTGATTTTTTCGTCATTTTTATTACGAATAAACTGTTTAAACTCCTATGCCGGTGAACGATTCGACACAACTGATACTGAAAACATTCTCGGACACTTTAAATATTCAGTATTCCCATTTTTTGTAGAACATATTTCAATCGTTTATCTTTATTTGAGCTACCTTATTGTTTAATCTTTTTCTAACTTATAACAACCCGTGTGCAAATATTGTAACTGACCAGTCAGTTAACTAATTTCGGACAAAAATGACTTACTTTGATTGACATTTCAGTAAAATGTGTAGTGTAAGTCTATCAAAGTTAACTGAAAACGTTTAAAGTTTCAAGTCAAAATAAATTTTCTCCATACAAAAACATAAATTCAATCAACTACAGTCAACTGAATCTAAAGTCAGTTAGTCATTTTTTTCCACACGGGAAGGCCGAATTCCTTCGGTTAAATCACAATAAACGTGCAGATTTACACTAAATATACATTCTACTTGAACTCCCAATCGGAATTTTAGATGTCATTCTTCATTTCGACTGTCAAAATAACGATAAGATACTTTCGGTTTGTTGGTTAGTCTGACAAGCTGTTTATTCTTGCTGCGTGATGTTTTGGGTTTTTCGTCATATTCTACGTCATCAAGGGACTTGCCTTTCGTTTCTTCTAACGCAAAAAACTCAAAAAGAGCATCGATTATACAGCCCACTTCAAAAATACACATGCATCCGTATAAATAGATGATTCCGAGCATGATTGGGAAGAGTTTTATGAACAAAAATATGGCTAAGCTGAAGGAACGCCAGCGCTTTGAATCTACATAGCACACTATTACGTCATGAGATTAGGCTTTAATAAATCCGATTGACGCTACAAATGAACGCCAGTGACATGATTCCTAGTGATAATGCAAATGCTGATAAGTAACAGTCAGTCTATTGAAATGGTAACAGATTGATATTGCGAACAATCCAATCATTGAGCCCATCAAAGATATTGAAACCTTTTCACCCAAAATATCGACCAAATACTTGACTAAACAAAGAGCTGATAATGTCACTTCTATTCAGAGGTTGGTTGCACATAAATTTATTCATATAAATTTCAAATATCGTATTGTAACGCTATCAAAGAATAGTAAGTGACGGGCGAGTTGGAAAATTCATCGGATACTTCCGTTAAACTGTACGAATGGATACCAATTCGGGCCAATTGAACTTGGTTTTTTTCTTCGAACACTCTGAATTTCACGATTTGCTTTGAATTGTTTTAATAAAACAGGTAGAACTATTAAAGGAGATCGGAATAATTTTTTTTCCCAAATATTATGCCTGGAATTTTTTTTCCAAATTTCATATTTTTTGTATTGATTCTCGGATTTATTAGATTCGAATTTAGTATTTGAAAAAAAGGTTTTAAACTTTGTTTTCAGTAAATAACTAATACATATCGTTAAGTAGCTAAATAATGAGCAACACGTGGCAGATATTGTGACAATGTCTGACTACTGAATTCATATGCTGTACTTCGACTATTGTCATTATAAGGCATGCAACAATTAGCATTGGCTCCAGCTGTATTGTGGATATAAATTCAAGTACACAGACATAATTTCCCTAATACGGCGAATTTTCCGATTGTTGGTTCTTGTGAATTCTTCCACTGGCTTTCAAATCAAATGTGATAAGTCGCAGCTGCTAAAATCGTCAACCGGGTTCCATATTTTGCATCAAAATATTGAATAAATCGATTTGTACTTGAAAATAATTGTTGTTTTCGAGCCACTATGGCACCAATGTGTTTCTAATGTCTTTTTAAATTGACAAGTTCATTTTCTTGAGAATCATCATGAAAAAATGCACATTTTAACATCCCCAATGAAAATATTCCATAGCATAACCAAGGAGCTCAAAAATGTATATCTTTCAGTAGGGAGAATTTCATGTTTGAATTAATCGAAAATCAATGATGTTCGAAACGCGATTTAATGAGGCTTTGATTCAGATTTCACAGAATCAAACTGGAAAATTACACTCGATTTCCCACACGATTTTCCATATGATTTCCCACACATTGCCATCAATCAAAAAAAAACCAGCAAGTCATTTTTGTAGAGTCATTCAGTTCTCGCTATTCGTTGAGACGACTTGTGTTTATTCGAATTGACTTTATAAAATCACGAAACATTCAATTCAAGATGAAACCTTTGGTCACAAATAAACTAGTGCTGACGTGGCTTTCTTCATATCCGGCCGATGAATCAACGAGCAAACGGCAAAAAAATGCCTACATAGCATTTACTGCGTTTAGTTTACTAGTTCTATTTAGTATGTTGGGATTGACGACATATTTTATTGTACGATCTTTATCGACCAATTTGGAAGACACGTTGTATTCAGTTTATCAACTTAGTGGGACAGGTGCCGTCTTCTATTCCCATATAATGGCCATTATTTCACGACACAGAATCGCAGCTCTCTTGAAAAACCTTTCGGAGATTTATAACGCAAGTAAAAACTCGTGAAATTTTTATTTATATCAACACGAAATACCAGTTTGAAGAAGACACAATTTTCATTTAAAGTTTGTTCGCACTCATAGTTGAAATTATTAAATCAAGAATTATACTTCATTCACTTGCTATTCGCTTAGATGAGAATGTGGAGTATTTTCGTTACTTGGCTCAGGCAAACAACAAATGTGAATGGATGTGGAGGATTTACATTAAATACATATTGATTGGGTTCTTTCTGCAAATGATTGTGTTGTCCCTAATATCGGTCACTTTTAATTGGATGGGTGGAGATTTCGATACAACCAATTTTTATCATCCGTTTACTCTTATGTAAGCAGTTCACTTTACAAGGAAATTTTAATTAAATCAGCCTTTCTGATCATGAAAATAGTAAACAATACAGTGGCACCTGGGGACTAAGTGCAATGCATCATATTTTCAACGTTTGAACTAACATAGACGCACTTATACAGACGCATAGTTGTTACAGCAAACTATGTGCATGATTCTCTATTTCTCCAACCAATCGCCAGGTGCCGCTTTATTGTTCTTGTTTGACGTTTCCTATCAATTTGTACAGATGATCAGAGAGGCTGTTAAATTAACTTAATCATTTTCAAAAAAATTCCATCGCAGTTTTCCTTGGGATCAAAAATCATTGTTAGGATACATTGTCGAAATGTGTTTTGCACTCACCGTGAGCGAAACTTACTTGTTCGTCCATCCAGCATTTTTCTTGCTGTTTCTTTCGATGTGTTTGCATCATCGAGCATTCTATAAAATGTTTCAATACCAAACGGAAAAACTGTGTCAGCTCGAACAGGATCAAAATTACAGAGAACAATTGTGTAAACTAATTCGTTTCCACATCATGGTCAAAACGTATGTAGTATCTATCGAAACTGAGTAGTAATTTAATCGACAATTTCAATTTGAAAGTAATTCTTTTTGAATATGAACGTGTTTTCAGTTGGTTCTTAGAATCAATCCAAGTGTACAGCCCATTCGTGTTAATTAAATTGTTCTTTGCCATGATACATATTGCTGCCATCGTTTTTCAAGTCGATTTGGTAATTTAGAACTGTCGACACGCTGACTCTATTTAGGAATGTTAACTTGCGACTCGAAAACGTAAATTTATCAATTTCAGAAAACGAATAGTCTTGACTTCAGTGTTATAATGTTGTTAATAGCAGCTTCAGACGGTCTCGCAACTCTCTTCTTACATTGCTATTTCGGAAAATCGGCTACAGATAATTTTGCAAAAATGGCTGATCGTTTGTATGCATGCAACTGGCAAAAATTCCCTGTTGATTTGCAAAAATATCTCATCGTGTTGATCGGCGATACCCAGCAACCCTTATATTACCACGGATTCAGAGTTTCTACATTGAATTTGGAGACATTTCGCAAGGTGATACGAACTATAAATCTGTTTTCATTTCAACTTATCATATCCATTTCAGCTTATGAAAACGGCTTTCTCTGGTTACATGATGCTCAAGACAGTTACGTCTAACGAGTAGCACAATGAATAAAACTACAAAATGGTATTTCTTTTGGGATGATATCTGCGATACAAATTGTTATATAACTCACTATACAAGTATCATATATTCATGTTAATCAAATTACAGCAATAACTAAGTAGTAGATAGATAACCACGATGCAAAATAAATAACTTTTTTTGCGAGCGATTGTGAAAGATAATGAATATCTTATCTTTTATGAGGCATTTCGAAACGAACTTTATTTCGCAACTCACGAATGAACTCATGCGTTCATTTGGTCTATGATAACAATCGAACTCGTAGCCAGGGAGTGTAACTCCGAGGAGGAGGAATGGTGAGGAGGTGAATGAGGAGGTGAATGAGGAGGAGGAGAACGCTGAGGAGGTTCCTCCTCCTCACATGAGGAGGAAATAAAAATTACCAAAATTGAGGCATATAAATTTATTTTAAACACTTTTATTGATTTGGAACGAATGCCAACGATGAAGAGCTACGATCAAATCTACGAGTCGTAGCAGATTTTCTAATTTTGAATTTAGTCAAAAATTATTCACCTAATTTAACATGTTTTTGGAGCTTTGTTCTGTCACCGTTAATGTAATTCTATCATTAGTACTTAACAAACGCTCGAAATATTGCAACCTAATTATAGTGTCGGATTAACGACAGTTCAATATAGCAACAATAAACTCTCAAATATTATATTTAAAATATTTGTTTTAATTGGCAAAAATGAGATAAATTTGGCCTGAAGCTATTGTTTTCGTGACATTTAAAGAATACTGTTACATCTAGAGCGAGCTCGTGCAAGTTTCGATTGTTCATCTAATCCAACATTGTCAAGAGATTGTCCACTGGTTTCGCCCACAAAAAAGTAAATGAAGATTGCTCCCAAGACACAACTGACTCCAAATATTGTCATGCATCCATGCAGATCGAGCACTCCCAAAAGAAATGGCAAGAGTTTAACAAATGTAAACGCCGATATATTTAATGAAAAACAAATGATCGCCATGCCAGGGGTTCGAATCTGCAGAAAAGATAAGTTTATCAAAGAGAATTAAAATTTAATGTGCACATTTTCTCTCACCTTGGGTGGTAAATATTCGATGCTGCAAACGAGTGACAATGCCACGATGCCGGCCGATGATATGAAAATAACAAATGATAGGCTCAACACTGGCACCCATTGGTATGACGACAAATCATAGCCATTTATATTCAGATAGTGATAAAGCGATAAAGCAAACAGTCCAAGGGCGGAACCAACCAGAGACATGATATTCAAAAATTTCCGCCCAAGCTTATCGGCCAGGTAAGTGGAGAACACCGAACCAAGAATTAGTGCCAACCCTAACATGATTGACGACACATATGGATCTAACGATGTTCCGGCTTTTTCAAAAATCATTACAGAGTAATTGGTGATCGTAAAATTCGCAGTACACTGAGCCAGTGTGGTTAATGCGATTCCAATGCCAAGTCCTTTCAACGCACTTCGATTGACTGAAATGAAGAATTGAAACACAATAAAATATTTCAAACGAAGTTTGATTGCCTGAAAAATGCATACAAAAGTCCGATGCCTGCAACTTCTCTTCGGTTTTCCTTTCGTTCGCGATCGATTTCAATCGTTCGAATTCTTTATAAAGTTCATCATCTTCCTGCTTACTCTTCCCTTTGTAACCTTTGTAATATTTCAATGCATCTTCGGCTTTCTATCAGTTTTGGAAAACGTTTGAATTTTATAAAATGAAACTTGCTATTTATCACGACATTTTGATTTAAAATGCAGTTTACTGACTTGAATCTGTCCTTTTTGGAGATAATACCGTGGAGTATTCGGTAACATCACGAAAATAATTGCGAAAATAATCGGAAAGATGCCAGAGATGCATGGAATAACTTTGTATTCAACACTTGCACTCAAAATGAAACCAACAAGAACGCCTAAGTTCCGTATAATTTGGGTGCTGCTTCCAAGACGACCACGAATGCTGACAGAAAAAAATTCTGATTATGCATCACGCTTAGTTTTAGTTCAACGATTGAATGAGTTCTGACGGCCTTCTTTATCAAATGACGGCCAAGGCGTTTAGTAGTTATGCAGGTTGAACAAAAAATACCATAGCTCTACATTTCATGTAGTGCTAAAAATGTTTACCTATCATCGGAAATTTCGGACACATATAGAATGAGTGATGTAAGTATGCCGCCACCACTAAATCCGGATAATACTCTGGCTAAAAGAAGATGGTAATAATGATTTCCAAAGTAAACAAGTAGCCAAAATGAGACGATAGGGATCGTCAGCAAAAGAATTGCACGCTTGCTACCCATCAAGGATATCAAGTAGCCTAATGAGAGTGTGCCAATCATGGCTGCTAAGATATTTATTGATGCAATCCATGAAATTTCATCTGTTGTTAAAGCTCCAGATACGAGCGGTGATTTTTCTGACGCTAAAATTGATAGAGCAGGCGAGACCCAAGCTATAATTGCGCCGTGGCTAAAAATTATTAGATTAGCTACAAAAAAAAAAATTAGCAAAAATCGTATCACTTTCTCTCGTCTTTAATAAAATTTTGTTTCATTTGATACATTTATTTGAATTACTGATTGATTAAACAAACCTGCGAATGTTGCAAAGTACTGATTCCATGTATTTGTCCATAGAAATACTTCTTTCGATTCTTTTGATTCCATTTTTTTTAAACTATGAATAAGGTGTTTTAACTTCCATCTAGATGAACGTATTTGATACAACTAATGCTGAAAACTATCCCGTACGCTTTATCATATCAAGAATTCCCATTTTTCATGTGAAAATGAAAATATTCCATTCAGACGTTTATCTTTATTCAAGGTATCTTATTGTCTGAATTTTGGTCTAATTTATAGCAATTACACAGCAAAATTTCTTTGGTTAAATTACAATTTGCGTACAAATTTATATTAAAGATACTTCCTACTTGATCTCTTGAGCGGAATTTTAGACGTCATTCTTTATTCGACTGTCAAAAATATCGTCTAATCCTACATCATCAAGGGATTTACCTTTTGTTTCTTCCAAAACAAAAAGCACAAAAACCGCACCAATTATACAGCCCACTCCGAAAATATTCATGCATCCGTGTAAATCGATGGTTCCGAGCATAATTGGGAAGAATTTTACGAACAAAAACGTCACAAAACTGAACAAAGATGCAACTATTGCCAGGCCAGCTGTTCGAATCTACATAACATGCAATTTACGTCATAAGAATTAGCAGTTAATAAATTCAAATGACAACTCACCTTTGGCGGCAGATATTCAATACTGCAGATGAACGCCAGTGGCATTATTCCAAGCGATGATATAAAGATAACAAAAGATAAGCTCACCACCGGTATCCATGCAAATGCTGAAAAGTCACAGCCATTCACATTTAAATAGTGATAGAGCGATGTTGCAAACAATCCAATTGCCGAGCCCACCAAAGATATTGCAATTAAAACTTTCCGTCCCATAATATCGGCCAAATACGTTGTAAGCAATGAACTGAGAATAAGTGCCACAGCTAACATGATTGAAGATACATATGGATCCAGTGATGTGCCGGCCTCTTTAAATATGATAACCGCATAACTGGTTATAGTGAATGATCCAGTGAATTGGGAAAATGAAGTTAATGCGATTCCAATGCCAAGTCCTTTCAATGCACTTCGATTGACTGAAATGATTAACTGTCATTGTTATTGACATGATAACACCATCTAGTAAAATACATTGTTTGATCCACTTACAAAAATCGGACGTCTGCAATTTTTCCTCTGTCTTTCGTTCGTTTGCAATCAATTTCAATCGTTTGAATTCTTTATCGATAGCATTATCTTCCTGTTCATTCTTTCCTTCATAACCTTTGTAAAATTTCAACGCATCTTCGGCTTTCTATTTTTTTTTTTAACGTATTAATAAGCTGTAGATCTGCTGTTCGATAAATCTTTTCATTATTAAAGAATGTCGTACTTGAATTTGCCCTTCATGAAGATAGTATCGCGGTGTATTTGGAATCATACCGAAAATTATTGCAAAAATGATTGGCAAAATGACACAAATGATCGGAATATATTTGTAATCAATTGTTGCCCCGAAGATGTATCCCATTAGAATACCTGTATTTCGGACAACAAGCGAAGTGCTCGCTAGACGACCACGGATGCTGGAAAGGGTCAAGGGAGAGAAATAGATTGAATTATGTTATTCAAATAAGAACATACAATAATAAATAGCAGTCGAAATGCAGTGTAATTAATCGACCTACTCATCGTTGGCCATTTCTGAAATGTACAACACGAATGTGGTTTGAATTCCGCCACCGGCCCAACCACTGAAAACTCTTGCAATCAGAATTTGATAATAAACATTTCCGAAGTAAATAAGGCACCAAAAAGCGATGCAAGGAACTGTCAAGGCGATCATCGCGCGTTTGCAACCCATAAGAGATATGAAATAACCAAATGAAAATGATCCACACAGAGCACCAAGACAATTGATCGAACCAATCCATGACATCTGCTCGTTTGAGAACGGTCCTACCTCCAATGGAGTTTCTTCTGAGGCTAATATCCCTAAAGCAGGCGCGATCCAACCAACGATGCAGCCATGAGCCAACATGATGAGATTGGCTTTCATGAAATAAATTCAGAAAAAAGGGCAAATTACTTTTAATGGTGATAATATTCAGAATGTAGGAACAAGTGCAGAAAATGAAGGGAATTTAGGCAAAATTGATTTTTTTTCAAGCAAGTAAAGAACAAAAGACAAATATTAAAGTTTAAATACCTGCAAAAGTTGCATAATATTGGTTTCGAGCATTTTTGAACTTAAATGCATTTTCTAATTGTTTCTCCGTCATTATGAATTAGTAAGCACCTGATCTGTCCGTCGTCACTTCCATTTGCTGAATGATGAAGCTTGCAAAAGATATTACCGTCTCTAGTCACATAAACATGTTATCAACCGTACAAGTTGACTCGGTGTCATTTTCGAGCGTGTAAGATAGCGTCAATCAAAAATGTATCAAATGAAATGCGATTAAGATAAAATTTAAGCTCGTATATCAGAAGGAGCATTGTTTTATTATTTGGCTTAAGATTGAGTGAGTTAGCGAAAAATTGAAATACTTCTTTGTTTTGCATCATACTTTATTTTTTTATTAAATTTGTTCTTCCGAAAACAAAGTTTATTACATAATGCAGGAACTGTTTTCACACAGTTTCCGTTTATATGATAAAACAGGTGGTGGCATCACATTTTAATTGTTATCTTTGCACTGGCTTTTCGAAGGGTTTATCGAATCCAAGGACTGTCTCCTCGTCTCCTCCATGAATATGATAAACACAAGACCGACACAACAATTAACTGCCAAGAATAACAGGCATCCATGCAAATGAATTGTTTCTAACAAAACGGGGAAACAACCCGATTTCTTAAAAATTAACATGGCAAAGTTGATGAATACGAAACTTCCTGGACTTTGAATGAACCAAGCCATCACGATGCTGGTGGTGATTCCCTTGAACGCCATTCCATTGTTAAAATCCGATAATTGAAGCTTTTTACTCTGTTTTTGCTCATTCACAATCATTTTCAGTCGTTCGAATTCCGATTTTAGCGTAGACATCTCACGCTCATTTTCACTTTCGCTACGTTTGTAATACTTGAGTGCTTTCTCGGTAACTGAGTAAAAATCTGACACCGCCAAACTGATGAATCGGAAATAATTTTTTTGTTTATTCAACCTAAATGACCTTTTGTACTATCGTTTGTTTGATTTACGTCGCAAGTATTGCCAAGCTACGCTTTACACACACGATTTGGGTGACATTGTAGTTAACTGACTACAAAACTAAAAATAGCTTGTTGTAGACGAACAACGTTTGTTTTCGAGGAGAAAATCGCCTGAACAAGTTCCACTCAATTTCAATCAATTTGCGATCACTTTTTTATAACATTGAAAGTTTTATTCATGTATAGATATGAACCATGTGATGTTGTTTTGTGTGTATTGTTGTTCTTAAACTGAAATGTTCTGAGATGTACTAGTGCACATGATTGTACTCTTTGCTTTTCATTTACAGGTGTACGGCATGCGAAACACATACAATAATCAATTAATTAAAATATGTTCTACATTTCTATTACAAACATGCTTATATTTCATATGGTTTGATATCGATCAATCTTTAGAACATCATCCGTGTAGCTGACAAATTTTCATTGGTTACACAATAACGTAATACACATTCACAATATGTTTTTCGTTCACCCTTGAGAATAGTAAATCAAACAGTTTGGAAAATATACAGGGACATCGCATAGCGTTTAACACGATTTTTTTAATGATTTGGATTTGCATAGAACAACGAACAAAGAAAATTTAGTTTCCTTACCTCTGATATGGGAGGATAAGAATTCCTAAGCTGTATCCAGAACATGTTGTTTTTTTAAATAGAACAGTGTTGGATTTACGTCTACAATTAATTTCAACGTGTGCTTTTCGCATATAAAAGCGAAAATTTTCCTACAAAATGCGCCTCTGAAAACTGTGATTGGGGCAATCAAAAGTGCCCGAAAAATTTTCAAGACAATATGCATCATACGTGGTGTTCATTCGTATAATTTATCGACTGCGGTAAATGAAGCAGTTAAAGTGAAATATCCATTACTCGACATTGATGTCATGAATGTTTTTCATTTGAATCTATTGTGGCGTCTCATCTTCCATTGAAAAATGATTTTGCCTGAAGAGACTGAAACAGAATGATTAACACCAAAACAACAGCTCTACAATTCAGGACACATTGTGAATATTTTATAATTATAAGTTTTCGCTTGAACACTTTTTCATAGACAGTGACCGAAACACATGGAAAATCATTCGAATTGTTTCAAATTCAATATATTTAACAGAAATATCCAATCAAAATTTTAACATACAATTTCTTAAATTATGAACTTAGACTATCATAAGATCGGTTGCTTTTTTCCCTCAGAATTACTTGTTTCAAACGAAACATTCACATCATAAAATATCAAAATGGTTAAACCTTAAACTGTTGGTTATTTTTCTTCGAAGAGATTTCATCGTCTTCATATTCCACTGTGTCGAGCGATTAACCCTTGGTTTCTTTCATAAAAACAACAAACACCAGCCCAAGGCAGCAACTGGCTACAAAGAATAGCAAACAACCATGCAAATGGATCACTTGAAGTAGAATTGGGAAGCATTTGTCTGCTGCAAATGCCACTGAGCTCACGCACAATGAATACAGAACAACACCAGTAGAACGAATCTATGGAAAGAAAGACCAATTATTGATAAGTCAAAAATTCTTCAAAATCTATTATTGTTGAAGTTTAAATCAAAATGGTTCAAACTTTTAAGAAGAAATCCTCAAATTTATCTCACCTTTTGTGGATAGTTTTCAACGGCAATGATGTGAGCCAATGCGATAATTCCCACACTTGCCATGAAAATGATGAGAGACAGACACACAACCGGTAGCCATAAAAAGTCCGACATATCATAGCCAAAGTGTCGCAAGTACGAGTAGCTAGCGAGACAGGACAATCCGACGGCAGTTCCAAGCAATGAAATGAACAATGTGGTTTTTCTGCCGAATGTATCGCCTAACTGCGTACTAACTATGCCGCCAATGATTTGCACGCATGCCAAAATGATCGATGCGATTTTTGAATCCAATAAAGTGCCCGATTTTTCAAAAATCATCGACGCATAATTGAAAAACAGGAAACTGCCCGTCATTTGAATGAACCAAGACATCGCCAAACTGGTGACAATTCCTTTCATCGCATTTCGATTGCAGAAATCACTAAAGTGCAGTTTTTCAGTCAATTTTCTCTCTTCCACAATAAATCGCAATCTCTCAAATTCACAATGCAGAAGCTTTTTTTCCTTATCACTATTCACATTGATTCCTTTGTAGTACGTTAAAGCCGATTCTGCTTTCTAAAAAATGAAAAGATGTAAGGAAAAATCAGTAAAAAGGTGAATATTTGAGTAATTTCTTTTTTTAAATTGTTCAACACTTTAAGAAATTCAGAAGAAAAACTACATGTTTGGGTATTACTCACTTGATAATCGCCTTTGTGAAGGTAATACTGTGGCGTATTTGGCAATGAGTACAACCAAAACAGGTACATAATTGGGAAGAATACGAAAATATACGGACGCTTTTCATATTCTATAACGGCGCCCGCTGTGTAACCAATGAGCACACCAACATTTCTTGCCAACGGTGTGATTGAGCCGAGACGACCGCGAATACTGTAATAAAAAAAAGAGTAAATTGGTTAAATTCACAAACATCTTTTTTTTTTCTCACAACAATTAAAAATTTGCATTGAATTTTTCTATCAAATATGAATGTTTTTAATAAAAAAAAATGAATTTAAATTCATACTTACTTATCATTGGATATTTCAGACACATATAAGGCAACAACCGATTGCATACCGCCAACAGTAAGGCCAGCAGATGCTCTCGCCAAAAAGAGATGATAATAGGTGTTTCCAAAATGGACTAAGACCCAATAGGCAATTAGTGGGAATGCTAGATATGTCATAACTCGTTTTGAGCCTATCATGACGGACATCACTCCGAAGACGAATGTGCCAACGATTGCACCGACAGAAGACATGGAGCTAACCCATGACAATTGCTCATGAGTTAATGGTCCCGTCACTAGTGGTGTGTTGTCTGAGAAAAGTATGGGCAACGCAGGACTTAGCCATCCGATTATACACCCATAGCTTAGCACAATCCAGTTGGCTATTTGAAAATGGGCAAAAATGAATTTAGGTTGATGATAAATGCAAAGTATTTTTTGCTGCTTTACGAACAAAATACTGTTTCGACTTGAAAGACTAAATTCTTTGAAAATTTGAATTAAATGTTTAGGCTGATTAAAATTTAAAAATCAATTCGTACCTATAATGGTTGCGTACAGTTGTTTTTTAACATTTGTAAATGCAAAATCGCTTGCTGAATTTTCCATTTTGAGTAACGTTTTTTCACAACTTTGATTCGAAGATAAGCGAAAGTTAACTGATCGTTGAAGCGAGACCCCACCTTTATATACCAAAAAACCAATCTAAGCAAACAATCGGTTTAGTTTGTTTAAGATTGATAATGATTCCATTTGCATCATCAGTGTTTATGGTGTTTAATTAGATATACAATTATGACGACTACTTGAGAATGAAGATGCTGCAGCAATTTATGACAAACAAAAAAAACTCTCGCACGAATATAGAATTTGTTTTTGGGTTTTTGCTACAAATTCGGAGAATTTCAATATGCCAATTTTAAAAGAAGAGAGTTTTAGTTATGGAGCATCATGTTAATAAAAGAATCTCATTACAAAAGTTCTTTTCATTTAGTTTAATTTCAAGAAATCAAGAAAATGCGCTTTGTATTCGTCATTCAACGCAAAATCGGCCAGTGGTCAAAGTTCATAATGATGATTTTTTTCTTCAAAAATCAATAATCGATTCGATAGCTTAACGTGGCTTGCGTTGGAAATTGACCCAAATTGATACGAAAAAATCAAAGAAAAGATCGAAAAAATTTGTGTTAAAATCATGCTATTTTTATTCCCTTGTTAAATTTTATCCTCAGGTAGTCATATTATGATGCAATAAGAATTGAAATTACATTCAACGTTCACAGTGCTGTGCGCGTGGAGCTCAAAATATCATTTGATTGACGTGTAATGTGTACCTAGCTTATCGTATAAATTACGATCAAAGTAACGCTGCATGGGTGGTTCAGAACACGAAAGTACTTCACGTGGATGGTCCATTCTCTAGGTTTTTTGCTCCAATGCAAATACAGTGTTTTACGTCAAATGTTATAATTATATGGCCTCTTTGTGGGGGATACAGATAATATCCAATTTTTGATGTGACAACAAGCAATAAAAGAAATAAACACACGCGGTAGGAATTACGTGAGTGCCATACTTGATCTTCAGATTATTTGATTTTATGTTTTTGTTTATTACAAATTCAAAGACACAATTCAAATAGTGACTTCCAAAAATGAAGCAAAAGCAAATACTACTATCCTATATAATCGTAATCCTAAGTTAAATAAGTTGGTGACACTGGCACCCCAACGATGGGACTTTTTTTCGTATGAAAATAACATAGACAAATGATTTACAATGAGTTTTTTTTTTTTAAATGAGCACATGTTTGTTCGACTTTGCTACTCACAACAATTGATTTAATTTAACAATTTATAAAAAAAAAAAATGCCCTATCTGCTTTCCTTAAAAACTTAAAAATCTAAAAACCTATTTCAAATATGTCTGATTCCTAATTTAATCTATTTGTCGGAGAAATCAATCGATCGTCCTTTGGTTTCTCGCATGAAGAAAATCACAAACAGTGTGCCCAAGCAGCAATTCACCGCAAAAATGGTTAAACATCCGTGCAAGTATATCATTTCCAAAAGAATTGGAAAATATTTATCGCCCATGAATGCAACTAAATTGTACCACAGCGTGTATAACACCATGCCAGATGTTCGAATCTGTAATGGAAGAGAAAAATAATAACAAGTTAAAACAAAGCGAAAAAAAAATAGAGCAAGAGATTAGTAATATAATGATTGTGTTTACCTTTGGCGGTAGATTCTCGACGGTGCAAACATTTGATAGCGGCGCAATTCCTGCGCACGATGTGAATATGACGAAAGACAATAACACCACCGGCAGACTTGAATAGTGTGATAAATCGTATCCAATATGATCGAAATATAAATAAACAGACAATCCAAATAGGCCAAGTGCTGAGCCTAAGAGCGACAGTATAAGCAGCACTTTTCGACCGAAATTGTCACAGAGTGATGTTGATAGTAGTCCTCCGAAAATTTGTACCACACCTAAAATGATTGATGCTATTTGCGAATCCATAATATGATTTGACTTTAGGAACACTAACGATGAATAATTAATAATGATGAAGCAGCCACTAAGTTGTAAAAACCAAGCCATTGCAGCACCAATAATCAATCCACGCACGGCTGTTTGGCTACAGAAATCTTTCAAATTGATCTTTTCATTCGTTTCTAATGCTTTTGCCATGTGTTTCAGTCGTTCGATTTCCAATTGCAATGCAAGCACTTCACGTTCGCTCTTTTCTTCATAGCTTTTGTAGTACATTAGCGATATTTCAGCTTCCTGAAATTAGATTTTTTTGTATGAATAATTTGTTCAATGTTTTTCAATACGTTTTTCGAATTTTAACTATAATTTTGATGATAAAATTCAATGTCACAGAACACTAAAAAATGAATGTTAAAAGTCTTACCTTGTATTCTCCGTGCTGCAAATGAAATTGTGGTGTATTTGGAAGGAAATACAAACAAATCATATACACGATTGGAATGAAAAAGAAAAAAGCAGGAATAGTATCATAATCAACCGTTGCTCCGACGATGAGAGCAATCAAAACTCCAACATTTCTTGCCAAAGGCGTGAGTGAACCAAGACGTCCTCGAAGACTGAAATGAACAAAATTTTCGTATGAAATTTAATTACGGAAAGAATTTTTTGCCATTTATTCTCATCATTTTTTCGTTATTTCATTTCGATTATACCAACCGAAATGGAGAAAATGATATAAAACTGTTCTTTTGAAAAATTGATTTTACTTACTTGTCGTTTGATATTTCTGACACATATATTATGACACCAGATTGAATTCCACCAGCCGTCATCCCCATAATGAATCTCGCAATCATGATGTGATAAAGGTAATGTCCCAAGAAGACAAGCAACCAAAATGTGATCGATGGCAGTGCCAGAAAGATCATGGCACGTTTACAACCGATGTTCCATGTCAAAAGACCGAAAATAACCGTACCAACTATTGAGCCCAAGCTCGAAATTGAACCGAGCCAAGACACTTCTTCGTTCGATATTTCACCATCAACGAGTGGCGTATCTTCTGATAAAAGAATGTCCAGAGCTGGTGAAAACCAGCCCGAAATTGAGCCATGTCCAACGAGCACTAAATTTGCTGCAAAACAGAAACAAATATTGATTTAATTTTTTTTTAACTGAATAACAAACGAAGGTTTTGCGAAAATTGTTAGAATAAAAGAAATCCCTTCAAAATTCATTTGAACAATCCAACAAAAAGACTTTTGTTGGATTAAAAAAAAATGCAAAGCAGAAGTATTCAAAACGAAACAAAAACAATTATCAATGTAAAAAAAAACGAAACTCAATTCGAAATTGCACTTACCTACAATAGCGGCATATATTTGTCGTTTAGCATTTGGCCAATGATACTCTTCTTGAAACACTTCCATCACCAATATAAGGTACAACAAGTAACTATTTTTTTTTCTTTCAGTCAAAATTTTCACTTTACAACAACCTTGATCGATGGTGGACAGTTATCTTCTGAAGTATTTCTTATATAACATGTGTTTTTATATATATTTTTGGTCAAATTAATGTTGTGGTCAATGCTAATAAGGTGGGGTATAGGTAGTAGCATTTTGCAGTCGCAGGCAACTGGTCTGCAATAAATTTAAACAAAAACATACGAACCATTTTTGTGTGATTCTACTTCTTTCGAAAAGATTAATCTAATAATCCCAAGAAATGGGGTGTAATTACGAAGAGATTTAAGAGACAATGTGTCGCTTACGTGCCGTTTTGTATGTTTGTTGTTCCTTTTTTTGCTGTACTACATTTTGATGATATGGTTGCGTTATTACCTTCCCCTAGGTAATGCATGAAAATACATACGATGTGATTCTTGGAATGTATGCATGGATAGTTGCAAGCACCAAACATCTTCAGCTAAATATAACACATGGTTGTTTTTGTTTTGGATTTTCAATTATTTAGCTTTGTTCTTTGGAATTCATAACCACATTGTAGCATAATGACGCATCTTTGATCAGTTTACATTTGCTCACAAACTTTGCACTTCCAAATAAACGAAGCGAACGTGACTTTTTTTTTTACAAATTCAAAGGTGACGGTAATTGTGTTGAAAGGTCATAAACCAAGAATGTGTTCAATAAGAGGAAGCATTTACTTTGTTTTCTTGCCTATTCACAATAGTCTAACGGCTTTGTCAAAGCGGAGAATCGCAACGCCCTACGTGTAACAGTTATCAGACCGCATGACGTTTTTTTACAATTGTCTTATCATTGTTAGATAGCGAAAATGTCTGTGTTTAGTTGACCATTTGAAGTAGGTGTGTATACATGTCGAAATGTGCAGTACAAGGAGAATTCCGCATCGTATGAAATCAATGACAACAATCACGTCTTGAAATAATGAGTTGATGTTAACATTTCGTAATTGACACATATATGTTCGATACTTGAGATTATTTCATCGATTTCGAATTCAGGGAGTCTCGCGCTTTGCGAAATTCATGTTGTTTTCGCCTTAGATCATAAACATCATGCGACCAATTTTACGACAGAGCAAGACAGAGTCATTCGATTGACCGACGCCAGATTTCAATTGATTTCCGAATCAAACAGAAATCGATCATAAATTGTAAGTGTAATAAAGAGGCGAGAGATAAGGGTATTGTCTCATTTGAACGTATGGGTTACATTGAATGCCTACGTTGATATTATATTTGTAAACTTTGTTTCAAAATGCGTCTAGAAATAGCAAAAACCAATATATTTTTCTCATTTTTCAATCCAAAAATGACGTGTTTCGGCCCATTGTTTTCCTATCCTTAGAGTTTTATTTTTCTCGATCAAGTGCATACCAAACAAAGGAAAAATGTTTAAAACGCAAATCATGATCAATGACGCAGTGAAATGTTCAATCATCTGATCTAATCTAGTAAATTTCAAGACACAATTTATGAGCATAATAAATGGGTTTTAGGTTTATTTATTCTCAAACAGATTAAATTAAAATACTAAAACCGTTCAACTGTATGGTAGTAAACAAAAGCATGTTAAAAACTAATAAATATACACACAAAAACTCCTTAACGCATTGTTTTGGTATTATTTGTTCAGTGGCTCACTTTCG